TCATTCATTCATTCCTTCATTCCTTCATTCCTTCATTCCTTCATTCCCTCATTCATTCCTTCATTCATTCATTTATTATTTATTTATTAGTCACTTCCATGCAGATTACATGAATAAAAAAATGGAATCCAAAGAGAGTGGATACACATAAACTACATATAAAAGAAATCATTTGACTATCCAAGGTCGCTTTTTACCTGTCCATCCTTGATCACAGTAGCACTTGTATCCAGTGTATTGCTTATTAACACACAACCCTGTGTTACAAATAGTCTTATTCTCACACTCATCAATGTCCATTTCACAGCGTGTGCCATTAGTAAACTCATTACAAGCACAATGATATGAGCCAATGGTGTTCTGGCATGTTCCTCCATTCATACAAGATGCATCTAAGGAAGAAATTAGTATGTGAAAAGAAAACATTGAATAAAGCACTTGGTAGTGTGCGTGTATACACCTACTTGCAAGAAGGTTGTCATTCAAGAATAGAACATTTGTAATTTAGTGAGAAAGGAATACATTAAAAGACAAAAGAAAAAGTTTAGCTTCAGTGATCTTCTTTTGTTTTTTAATATAATTCCTATCCCACTAAGTCACTAATGTTCTATTTTCGTATGACAACATTCTTGCAAGTAGGTGTGTAAAAACTGACATGTATCGAAACCACCTGTTACCATATGGGGCTAACTAATGGAAGAGCCCCTTACAGGAGTGATGGTTGTTAAATATAAAATAATTCAAAATTATCAACATTGAACTTCTAATGAGAAGGTGTTATTTCTGTTTGCGCTTGGGAGTCCACAACAACAGTGTTAAAAATTAAATCATGTGTTTAATTAATGTTGTTTCACGCATTTTAAAAAGCACAAGCGTTTAGATCATTGCATGGCAGAATTTCTTTTGTGTTCCCTTAAAATGCATATCACCCCTTAAATCAAACCACTTTTATCATATTCTAGACATCAGCAGCTTTCAAATGATATACATATGAGGTCAATTGGATAATTCCTGGGTGAGATATTGAGGCTTAAAGGTCGATTATGGGTTTCCTGTGTCAGGGTGGACGTGAAAGAGTGATCTGAGAACGGGAGTAATCTGTGACGTCAAGATAGGTATCGAGCATGCGTACTAATTACTGGGCTACTAAGTGACAGCAATATGATCCGAATTAACAAATCCAGTTTTCATATGATTGTACTATACCGCCATCAACCTTGTGAGGGTCACGAACATGCAGTCCGCACAGTTGTATTTTATTCATTAGGGAGTCAATATTTTTTGTAGGATTTCTTTGAAAAGCCTCCTCTTTAGCGATCGAAAAAAAGATTCTTATGTTCAAATGAGTTAAGTGATTCTGTTAGCACTCGTACTTTAATTATGGCAATATAGTCATAGTTTGGATTTGTGTTTGATGCTAGATGCTCACTCAATTCACGAAATAAAGCACTCTAAGAATGATTCTAAGCAAAACCTCAAAATCTTAAAATAGTACCAGATTTTGTTTCATTCAAGGTATATTTCTATCAAGATAATAGACTTATAATTCATGATAAAATATATATATACATATAACGCAAACAATATAAGTCTCGAATGATTACAAGTCAAAAGCTGGACAAATTCAGAGAAACCATAAAAAACCTGTCCTCATCCAATGAATAATACACTGTTCTTCTTGACAATGAGAATGGTTTATTTGATCCTTGTAGATTACTCCAATTTTTTATCATTTTAGGGGTGAAATGCACTTTAGTAAGATAAGCATTATAACCTACCTGTCTAATATAAAGACAAGGGATGAAACTCAAATTGGACCCCTCAAATAAAATTGCTTTAAAAAATTCATGCTATGCAGCATCTCAGTATGAGAACCTGAACGCTTGTGCCTTTTTCAAAATAATGTGTTAAACAGCAACAATTAAACACTTGATAGATTTTATTCCAAACATTGTTGTGGGCACCCTGTGGTTTGAGGGAAACAACTATATATCATAAGGTATGCATCATACTCACTATTGAGACACTCATCTATGTCTCTATCACAGAATTCTCCTTGAAATCCTTTATTGCACATGCAGGTATAATCGTTAACACCATCTACACATGTCCCATTATTACATCCATGTGATGGACAGTCATCTATGTTGCTCTCACATTGTGTACCATTAAAACCACTTGGACAATGACACTTGTAATGGCCAATCTCATTAAAACATGTTGCATTATTCTTACACGGGTTGGA